CAAATGTGCTTTACACAATTGATCTATGTAAGGATTGTGATAAGAGTTGTATGAGCCCCTAATAAAACGATTTTAAAAAAAGATCTAATTTACTGGCTAAGTTTATGTCTTAGCAGTTGCTAGACTAAGCATTCTTCCCTTCCCTTCCTTCACTCTTACTACCCACTATCTTCTTTGGGGGCATTTTCCTAGCTCTTTTTGCTCATTTATTCCTTCATATAGATGTTAGAATCAGTTGGTTTAGCCCCAGGGGCAAGGTGGCTTTGTGGTGTTTATTTATATTGAGGTAATGCGGAGTTGATAATTTAAGGGAAACTGCTGCCTTCAGTGATGCCGACTTCCCACCCAGTTACATGGTTCGTCACTCTGTTGGGTCAAGGTCAACTTCTATGCCCTTCAGGAATACTTTAAAGTGTCTGCCATATTGGATTTGCACATTTCTTGCTAAGGTTATGATTTGTTTAGTTTAGCTCCTTTCCCCCTTGGTTCATCTATTGTTTCTTCTAAGTAGTTGTTTACACACGTACGTGCCCATGCCCCTGAATGGGGTGGGGGGGCTTCAAAAAGTTCATGGAAAAATGGAATTGGAAGACCATGGAATTCCCCTCCTCCCAACTCTTTGATGACCCCTCATGTGTGTGTGCGCACGCATGCATGCTATTGGTCTCTGAGCTTTCATTTTATATCTTGCAAGTTGCTGGCAAATCCATTCCATTCCACACCTGGAGTGTACTTTAACCTCTAACCTTTGAGTTAGCGGCAAGCTCAGAAACCCTTGCACTGAGGGTCCTCCAATGAAGGATACATCAAATCAAACCTGTTGCCATAGTGACCCTGCAGGACTGAGTTAGGATTGTCCCTGGGAGTTTGGAGGGGGGGGAGGGTTGATTGTCCTCTCGCCAACAGAGAGCCTGGTGGGGTACAGCTGCTCACCTTGTGATTGGCAGCTTCGTCAGCTCAAGGTTCACCGTCTTAATGGCATCTGTAGATAAGTCGAGAACAGGTGCTTTCACTTCAGCCAGCCTAGGAGTTCAGCTCTTGGGTGTGGTTAACTGGCCTTCAGAAAGCGACCCAGCAAGTCATGGACAGACCCTGGCTCACAGCTCCCTGGAGTTACAAGGGAGAGACACTTGGGTACAGAGGGGGTTCAGAGGGACATACCTCTTCCAACAGAGTACTGAGGTAGAAATGTAAGCTCTTCAAAAGCAGGATCTGGGAGTATCTGTTTATTAAAAAGCCAGTCCCAGGCAGACAAAGTTCCCTTCCCAAATCCTTTGATTCATGTTACTGATGCCCAGACCAATTCAAGCAGAATCTTCCAAATGAGGGCCTAGGCGGGGATTCTGTAAACTCCCTGTTCACTGTTAAGCCTGGCCCAGTGTTTCCCAAAGTGGGTGATAGCACATCCTTGGTGTGAGGCCTTGGACCAACCTAGGGGTGTCACAAACCGACTTATTGTTGTCAGGTGCCATGTAATCACTTCCAATTCTTCGCCATGCGCCTTATGTACGACAGAAGAAGACATTCGCTTGCCCCGTAATGGCTATGTTGCAGCCACTGTATCCAACGCTCCTGTCGAGGGTCTTCCTTTCTTTTTTGGGGGGTCTTCCTTTCTTTGCTGCCCCTCCACTTTACTGGAATGATGCCCTTCTCCAGGGACTGGTCTCTCCTGATAACTTTTGTACTGTAGCTCATAATGGAGGATAAAGTTTTCATGGCTTCCTCCCAGCCCACTCCACCCCCATTATCATGATCCCAATTCCACCTTACAAATCTGGCTGGGCCAGAGGATGTGCACTGGAAACACAGGGAATCCAAGACAGCTGAACCCCTCAGGACTAGTGGTAAGACTGGCGATACCGGGAGGGTGGAGGGAAGGTGGGGGAGAAAGGGGGGAACAGATTACAAGGATCTACATATAAACTCTCGGGGAACGGACAGCTGAGAAGTGGGTGAAGGGAGACGTCGGACGGTGTAAGAAATGACAAAATAATAACAATTTATAAATTATAAATTAAAGGGGGAGCAGGGAGGGAGGGGAAAAATGAGGAGTAGATACCAGGGGCTCAAGTGGAAAGCAAATGTTTTGAGAATGATAAGGGAAACACATGTACAGGGGTGGTTGACACAATGGATGTATGTGTGGATGTGCTTAGTTGTACGAGCCCCCAATAAAATGATTTATTTAAAAAAAAACAAAAAACCAAACAAATGAACAAAAAAAGATCCAGATACCCCTTTTAACACAGGCATCTTTAAATTCCTGTATTAAAATTCTTATCAGTAACAACAAAAAAAGTTATTCATGGCCAAGCGGGCTGCTGAGTAATTTTTCCTTTTTTTCCCTGAAAAGGGGACAGTAGGTCTAGCAAATGGGGGAGCCTGTGGCCCGACCCTCCAGCTTAGCCTCTCTAGTTGCATGTGAGAACCACATTCAGGCTCACCTGTGTTTCCTTCTTCCAGATGAAGGGAGCATGTGGAGGTGTGTTACAGGATGGGAAGACAAAGCAGGTAAGCGCCGGCATCCCACCGGGCAGACCGCTTTTGCCCGTGGAAAAACGGTTGATTTCCCGTCTGGTGTGCAAAAGCCCCAGTTAACCAGTCTGGCACACTTGGGCAACCTTTGACTCATGTGTGTGTGTGGGGGGGGAGTTCATATTCTCTGATTGGCTTGGCCAATCTAGTCTGAGAGAGAGAGAGCGCGAGCGAGAGAGCTCAGAGGTTGGGAGCCCGGGGAGCACCGGGGCCTCAGAAGCTCTTTGTGAGCCATGGGGAGGAGCCCGGCTTTTTCTTAAGGACAGGGTAATTCGGAGAAGAAACAGTTCCACATTGATGTCGGTTGTGCAGAGTGGAGCTATCAAACCTGGCTCCTCAGGCGCTCCGCAGTGTGGGTTAAAATGCAGCTTCCTTTAGCTCACTTTCCTCTCCGGCCCCTACCACACTTGGCTAGCTTGTTAGCTGCCTGCCAGCAGAACATGTGTTTGCTCACTCGCCGCCAAAGCCAAGGGAGAGATGGGGAACAATAAGGCCTGGCCCCTGAACTGGGGGAAACCCCTATGGCTGGGACAGGATTGCCTCATGCAGGATTTTGTAGAGCCTTTGATAAGAACTGTTCATCACCTTGCCTGCCTATTGGAATCCCCCCTCAAGGACCTAAACGCACTGCCCCTGAGTCATTTCTGATTCACAGCGACCCTTCAGGAGAGGAGGGCTAGCCATGTGGGTTTCTGAGACAGCAGCTCTTTGCGGGAGTAGAAAGCTTCGTCTTTGTCCTATTGGAATCAAGTAGGAAATGCTAAACCCACAGCTGGCTAAGCCTGACCAACAGGCTTATGTAATTGACTGAGGCGGAGCCTCAGTATGGAGAGGTTCAAAAGCACCCAGATGATTCCAATGTGCCATTTGTGCGTCTTTGTGTCAGCCAGATGGGCTGGTGATGAAATCTATGACTACTGCTAGTTTCTCTGAGGTCAGGTGAGTTCTTCCCCTCCCTGGACCCTGAGCTTCAGTTCTAATAAACACACCCACCTACCGCCAGCGAGCTCTCGCCAAGGAAGAGCCTCCCTCAGAAGCTGGCAGAGGTCAGCAGACAGGTGCTGGTGGCGATCCTGGTGGCAGGGCTGGGTGTGAAGGCCGGGGCTGGCTGGGGCCTGACACCTTCTTGTTCTGAGCCAGGAGGGACAGCTCTGGGGCTCCATGCGGAGGACGGCCGTCATCCTGGGCTCCGGCCTTCTCTTGTTCGTGGCCTTCTGGAACTCGGTCACCTGGTGAGTGGGCCTGGCCCCTCTACACTGCAACACCTGGGGGGTCTGGCGGGGGTGGGTCTTCCCCAAGTAACCACAGTGGTTTTTCTTCTAAGGCATCTGCAGAAATTCTGGGGTGCTTCCGGTTGCTTTTGGCAGACCCAATGGGAGAAGCTGCTGTCTACGTTTGAAGGGAAGGAGTGGCTCCTTTATGTGATAGGTGAGGCCCGCGACTAGTTCTTAGGGCTTGGGCACCCGGTTATAGCTGAATGCTTTTTCTATTGTTTTCTTCTCTACTCTGGGACCTCTTGGTTCCTTATTCCAAAGAATGAGGGCTAGAACTTGGGGGGGGAGGGGGCGGTAACCCTCAAACTGTGGACAATTTGGAAACAAGGTATCTCAGGGAAGAAGCTGAGGTGAAAGGGAAGAAGGCAAGAAAGGGATTGTGTAAAGTGAGGGTGCACTCAGAGCCACATCTTACTTCTAGATGGAAGCCTGCCCCCAGCAGAGTGCTGGCCCATCTTGGCCGAGGCCTCTCCCCCACGCCTGGCACGGTCTAGCCCCCGGGTTTGACATCAGCAGTCACTCTGTATCCACGGACACCAGGAGTGACTAGAAACCGCTTAAGAAAGCAGAAGGGAAGAAAAAGCCATTTATGGATTTATAACAGTATTAGGGACAATAGGGAATTTCCTCAACTCTACCTTCATTCACTCAGATGAGGTTACTAGTGTTGGTATGTGCCAGACCTGTATGGGGATGCAGATGATTTTTTTTAAGGGAGATAAAGATTCTAAGTTGAAGTGTTTGCCTAATCCACTTAAAATAAATGGTGTCACGGTCGGGATGGGGGATACAGTCATTAGTTGTCACAAAGCAACAGCGTAGATTAAAAGCCCCCAAGGTCCGGGAGGGTGGAGGGAAGGTGAGGGAGAAAGGGGGAACCGATGACAAGAATCTACATATAACCTCCTCCCTGAGGGATGGACAGCAGGGAAGTGGGTGAGAGTGACGTCAGATGGTGTAAGATATGACAAAGTAATAATAATTTATAAATTATCAAGGGTTCATGGGGGAGGGGGAGCAGGGACAGAGGGGAAAAAATGAGGAGCTGATACCAAGGGCTCAAGTAGAAAGCAAATGTTTTGAGAATGATGATGGCAACAAACGTACAAATGTGCTTGACACAATGGATGGATGGATGGATTGTGATAAGAGTTGTACGAGCCCCCGATAAAATGATTTAAAGACCAAAAAAAAGCCCTGGAGGGTAGTCTGCAGCCAGAAGTCTAAAAGTGGGCTGAGCATGAAATCTGACCGATTCGTGGAATCTTTTTGGTTTCTTCCTCCTTTCTCACTTTTGGCTGTGAAGTAGGTGAAAGCGAGTGGAACAGATCATCAGCTTTATATTTTATACATATTTTGTTTCAACTCCTCCATTTCATCCCCCTTAGCAGTCAAGGGAATCTTAAGCGGTATTGGAAAGAACAATGCTCATATCCCTGGGGAAAGGCTTTCTGTATTGCAGGTGGTACTGTGGTCTAGGAATTGGGCTGCTAACTGCAGTCAGGGATTCAAACTCACCAGCTGCTCCCGGGGAGAAAAACCCCGATCCGGTACAGATGTTGCATCTCAGAAACTCAAGGGAGCAGCTGTACTGTGCCGTCCAGGACACTCTGGCTAGGAATGAACTTGATGGCAGTGGGCTTGGTTTTGGTGAATGACCACAAAGGAAAGCACCTAATCCATCTTGGTGGGAAAAGAATAACTCTTGTTTCTCTTTCCTGGATTACACTAGACGTTTTCCTGTCGGTTAATGTAGCTTTATTTCGTGCAGGCCCCCGTGGGTTTCCGAGACTCCCACTCTTTACAGGAGTCGAAAGCCCCATCTTTCTCCCGAGGCGCGGTTGGTGGCTTCAAACTGCTGACCTTGCTGGTCACAGCCCAACGCATAACCCCTATGCCATCAGGGGTCCTCAACAAACTATAGAATAATGTGAACATAACTTACATGCACAGGAAAACAACAAAAAATGTACGTGACTTGCTTTATCGCACTAGTCACTTGATTGTGGTGATCTGGAACCAAGCGGGCAGTGCCCCAGACATAAGCTTGAACCTAAAGCAGCTCAGTCTAGTTCATTGTCTGGAAATATTGTAATCCATATAAGTGGTTCCCCACTATGGACATTTCGGCTGCCCACGTGTTTCACTATGGTTTTAAAAATGTGAAACTATATTGCACCCCCTTTCTTCCCTTGTTCTTCCCTCCCTCTCCCTTTTAATTTTTACAAAATGTTTATTCTAGTCCATCCAGTGCTAGCCAAATATGTTCCAAGGACCCACTACAAAAGGAGCCCTGGGGGCACAGTGGGTCTGTAGCTCAAAGCCACCAGCTGCTCAGCAGAACAAGACAGTCTTTTCCTGGCGTAGGTTCCCCCGCCTGGGACAGTCCATGCGCACTTCTGCTCTGTCCTGTAGTCGCTGTCAGTGGGAACCCCCTCACAGGGAATACATTTGCGGCCACCGAGCAGAAAGGGACCTGGAGGAGAGGTACAGACCCAGAGTTTGGGAAAGCATTGTCCTGGCCATCCGGGGTTTTGAATTTAGAGACAGCAAAACATGGACAAATCCAGGGAATAATACAAGAGTTAGGACTGTACAGAGTGCTGTTTGTGCGCAGTAGGAGACCAGTAATACCTGGACTGACCTGATGTGCAGCACAAAGCCAAGTCCACCTTGTAAGCCTCGACCCGTCTTTTCTACACAATGTGCAGAACATCCGTGGAGAGGGATGTTGGTAGGTGAGACGACTCCGTGACGTAACCATCCACCTAGGGGTTTTTTGAGTGTGTGTGTGTGAGGGAGTAGAAAGGTGCTGTCAGTAACTGCTGCAATGACAGCCATACATCGACATTTCCCAGGACAAACGAGGATGCCATGCAGTAGGCATGTTCTAGGGTCAAAAAGAATCTGGGAAATGTTGAGTAAGTCAAACCAGCTTGCCAGCAGGAGAGTCTCCAGGAGAGACAATGGTGACTGCAACCCAGGAGCCCTGGCCAGACACATTTTCCGCTTGGGGAAATGCAAAGTAGAGGGCGCCGGAGGCTCCAGGTAGCAGAGTGGCGGGGATGAGGTTTCTTGACTGATCACATGTGTAAGGCTCATTTTGAATCACAATGAGCCCAACACCTATGTTTCCCTTCCCAGCAACCCTCAGGGTTCAGTGTGCACAGTCGCCTTCAAGTGGATTCTGTCCAGCTGCTCCACGGGGTTCTCGGGCCTGTCTCCCAAGGAGCCTCCGGGTGGGGTCAGACCACCAGACTTTAGGCTAGTCGTTGAGCACTTACCCATTTGAACCATCTGGGGACTCCCAACATTAGCCTACGTCCATTTGTTTATTAGAATATGTATTTTAACTCAACATGCTTTTATATTTTCGTCTTCAACCACTTTGAGACAAGTCCCCATTTTACAGTTAGAGACAGGCCTCGAGTGACCGCTGGTTTATCAGTCCCAGACTCGGAGTAGGCCCCGACCCCGAGCACCAGGGCCTCCTGGCACAGGACACCTGCAGTCACCACGGCGGAACGTGTGTGCGCCCAGCCCCTGGGCTTTGAGGAGGCGAGGGCCTGAGTGTTCCTTTGTTTCCCAACCTCAGGTGCCACCCAAGTGCCGAATCTGCTCTTCTGGAGCTTCAATGTGCTGTTACTTGTGGTCGACACGACTGGAAAACCGAGCTTCATCTCTCGCTACCGGATTCAGATCGGCAAGAACGAACCAGTAAGTGTTCCTGGGCTGGGCAAGAAAGCCAAGGGTCTGGGAGAGACCAGGACCAGGGTGTGCCAAGTTAGCCACACCATCAGCTGCCAAGTCAGTTCCAGCTCATGGGCACCCCACGTGTGGCAGGGTGTGTTCCTGAGAGTTGCCAGTGGCTGATTTCTCTGAAGTAGATCAGCAGGCCTTTCTTCCGGGACACTTTGGGGGTGGGGGGAGGTGAGCGCACACCACTGATGGGCTGGTTAGCTGAAGTGGTTGGCTACTTGCACCACCCCGGGGTGCACAGATGCTGAGAGAGAGGAAGGAGTTTGCCGTACATCTCAGAGCTACCGGGGTGGCCAGCCAAGATTATGTTCCAGTCCCCAGATTTCCTACCCCAGGCTCTGTACCTGGCTGTGGTGCCTCCGTGACTGCAGCCACATTTCAGAAATGTAAGACATTGCCCCTGCCTGGCGGCCCAAGAGCTCCCTCCTGTCCCAGATAACAGGTGTCGTCCACAGTGAGGGGCACAGCTGCTGAAACAATAGGTGGTCTTTCCACACTGACTGGGTAGTGGGGGTGTGGTGTGTGTGTGTGTGTGTGTGTGTG